CTAATGCCAAGGCAAAGGTGGTCGAATAAAAAAGATAAGTTGGCAAATTAGAAAAAAAATATTTATGGCCTATATCAAATTCCAAACCACTTTGTGCAACAAAATAAAGATTTGGTACGCACTTAATATCTTTTACGAACACTAACTCCCCATATCCAACTTTTGCATGTAAAATAGTATTAAATGGTGTTTAGCCCAATTCTGGCATACTAGTGGCCTATAACAAAAAGGTGGATACCCCACTGACTAAAGCAACATGGAACTTGAGATTATTCCCAAGCTAGATGCAGAATCATGGTAATACAACTTAGCAGGAGCCAAATTAATATCTTAGGTGGTCAACAATGCTTCTAAATACTATCTTTACTATACATTTAGAACCCCCCACAACCCCTCATCCCTCACCCTAGAAAAATGTATGCTTTTAGCTTTCACCCCAATCTTAAGAACTAGTTTATGGGATTTGAAAATTTACTAGATATGGAATAGAACTAAATTGTGAATTGGGATGTAGGAACAACACTATGGCACTCTCTAGATTCTATAGATATGCCTTTTAGATAGATTTAACCACTTACTATAAATAGCATAAAGGACTGAATGGAACCAATACATGAGGTATGATAATGAGGCTGTTTGGTGGACACAATAAGCTATCATAAAACATTATTGAGGAACTAAACACATGAGGGTTCTTGTCATTAGCTAGTGCAACATATAACACATTTAGCTAATAATATATAAAAAATTTCACTAGCATAAGAGGAAACAATAATAAAGTGGTGCAACTATATCGACCTTTATCGCAGAAGAGAGAGTGTCCAAAAGTACTGGTTAACAAGTATTTTTTGATACATGAAGCCACATTTATGATATTTTACAATATATGCCCAATGTACATGATAGAATGATGCTAACTAGGCATAATTATACTAATTGTGAAATTTTGGAATTTGGTGAATTTGGTGAATATAAAGTTCTACTTAGACTTTTAATATAGAAAAATACACTAAGAATATTAGGAAATCCTCTTGATTAGAACTTTGGACACATCTAGAAAGATTGTTGTTGAGAAGAAACAAATTAATATCCTTGCAAGGACTTTATATTGCCAAAGTAACTTAGTGTTCTGGAGATTCTAGCATCTTTGCCAAGCTCTTCTAGTCAAGCTGGGCAGACTCACTAGTCTATCGGTATTTAAAAGTGCCCTTATAATAAAGTTGGTTGGGCTCACTAGTCCTTCAGGGGTTTTTTTTCTAAAATCTAAGAGCACTCGATTCCTCATGAAAGTCAAGAGTCTATAATAGAAGTATGTGATTTTTAACTCTATAACTTTCTTCTAGCCAATTCACCAAATTCACCTAGGTGTTAGGACCAAACATTACACAATACATACAATATTGAACACATACCATCTACAAGATCTCTTCTAGTTATGATGTCTATAGGCAAAAATTTAAAACTATAGTTGAAATATAAAGAACAAAGAAGCAATTAAAAACACAAAGGCTTTGATTTTCTTACTTTCCCAAACATTTCAATCAGCAATGTTAATCTAACTTTTCTTTGATCCCTTGGGCAGTTTTCCACCATAAAGGATCAAAGAACAATAGTAATATTGATAGGAGAGGGAGAGAAAATACAAAAGAAAGCCTTAGGAAAAGTAAAGAATAATTGAGTAAGTGAGTGTTGTGATGGAAAATAATATTGGCATTGCTGATTATGTCGGTGTTAAGGAGGACAAACCTCTACATAGCCATGATAATTAACATCATAGTAGGGAATTTTTAATCTTTAGGCAGCAGTGCTTCTTTGTACTCACTCATGTTGGTGTTGTTGGAGTTTTTGCTTCACATAAATATCCTATTTAAATACTATGATTTATTAAGAATTAAAAAACTATATCTTTAATCTAATTTTAAATCCATTTTATTTATTTAAAATATATAATTTTTATTACTTTTATTGTAAAAATTACTATAAAGTTTTTGACATTAATTGGTATATTGAGAATTTTAAAATATCATTATTTTAATATTTTTAAGATAAAATATATATTATTATCAGCTAATGCAATTGTAAAAAATTTAGTAGTTGTATACCAGTCTGGTGTTATACTTTTAGAATACCTTTATATTGTGTGTGTGTGTGTGTAGCTAAATATATATTAAATTATAATATTTTCTCAAGAAACATAAAATAGTGAAACTAATAAAACTTTATTACCCATAAAAATTTGCTTTAAATATTAGCTTTTTTTATTTCATAGATTTTAAGAACCCATAAAAATATAAACTTGCAACATAATAACTAAATAAAGCAAAATGTCAAAGGCCAAATGTAAAGAGTAAAAATAATCAATTAATAATCAAATTTCTACTTGGATTACAATTCTCAATTTAATCAGTATTTAGTAGGAACTTTTATTTATAATAACCAAACGAAGACAAGTGTTTCTACTTATCAATTTCCTATACAAGAGTATCTAAAAGAGTGCTTGTGTGTGGAGGCTGGTAAAATGTTGCAATGCTGATCTATCTATCAAACTGCAAGAAATTGCAGAGGTGAAGGGAAGTCTCTTGCCAATTGTTACAAATGCGATGGCCTTTAGACTCTTGTTCACGATTTGAAGCTTTCTTTGATGCTCACGAACAGCAATCTTACAAGTTTGATTGGTGGCGATGTGCAGAAATTTAGTTTTTTTCCCATACAATGGTAACAACTTTGACTGTCTGGAAGGAGGTGGGCAAGCCTTTTCCCTTTTCATCCGCTTATGACCTTCTAGACCAAGTCAAATGGCTTTATACCATATGGAACAACTGGAGGTGCGTACATATTAGCTCCTGAGTTCTTGCTCTAACGTGGTGTCGTGGTGTCTAGAAAGTCGAACACCTTCGCTATCACCATCGTTACCCCACAGTCCAGCAGGAGATTTAAGGCAAAGCGTCCTTTATCAACGTGCACGTCTTCAAAGGCTTTGGAATTCTTCTAGTCTCATGTGATTTTGCTTTTTCCCAGAACCACTGGAGGTTCTTGTTAATAGTATGACTCTCATCATTGTTTTTTCTTGTTTCGTTCTTTTTATTTCACAGGTGGAGTTGCTAAACTCCCAGTGGATTGAAGATCGTTCATTTGGTCGGGTCGGTTCAAATTTACATGCTATGTGATGGTAATGCCTCTGGAGCAAACTATGTAAGATCTTATTTTCCTGAGCTGGATTTGTTTTTCCATTTTCTAATCACGGGGACAAACTGATCAGGAATCCTTGCAAACGTACAAGAAGATCCACGATGTTAGAGACAAGTCTACAGATTGCAAATACTCGGCCTACATGGTAAAGTTCACGAGTTTTTCGGGGGATGCCTTGCCAAGCGGCCGCGCCGCCAAGCCCTAGCGTGCTCTAGGTATCATCTTGTTGCTAGGATCCTAAACGGATCTCGGACCTTTCAGAGATTCAAACATTATAAATTTGAACATTAAATCATCGTTTTTACAGCTAAATCAAAGAAAATGATATGAAAAAAACTATCACGAGTCTGAACTATTCTGCTGCTCGATCAAACTTGTCACTGCTCTTTAGCTGCTTCCACTTTTCTTTTTGAAGCTGCTGCCCCTACTCTGCTGGGCGAACTTAAAACTTCGATTTTTCAACCTGCTGCCCCTGCTTGGTTTAAGAGCTCCACCCTCATTTACATATTCTTCTGGCGGACTCTTATGATCTGGACCAAGTTGGCAGTCAGACTATTTTCCAAATAGAAAAGAAACATAATCTCTCAAGGTTATTTACTCACAAGTTGGCCAGAATAAGCAGCTCCTTAGCGTAGTCTCTGAGATGTTTTATTTATTTAGTCTCGAAGAGACGGCCTCCAACGATCTGGACCAAGTTGGAGCTCAGAAGATATTCCACCAGAGGAGAAAATTAAAAAACAAAAAAAATACCATAGGATTTGTTGCTGATACTAAAGGAGCTACCATCACAATTTGTGTGTCGCTGCAGCTTGCTTCTTCTGTTTAACAACACGGATGAAATGAATGGAAGAGGAAAAAGCGAATGACTCTACGTACCCTCAGTCCACATTTCTTGATTGTAAAGGTGGCCATTGAACCTCTGAATCGCTTTGCACCAGCTTCCACGTTCCATGAAACTCGTCCGATCTTCTGTCTTTATGACTGTTGCTTCGTCTTAGAGTTCGCTCCAGCTCTTGTAGTCTCCGCATGTCAGGGGCGAACATCAGCCGTTTTTCAGTCTTTGTGAAGCCGAACCTCTGGCTCCGCCGCCACAAGCAGTTTCTTCGAGTTCGAGATCATCTTGCCATCATCATCTTCTATCATCCAAGCACCTGTAAGAGTGATACTGGACAGCATTGAAGCTCTCGTCCCATTTCCGTCAACTAGAGAGCTTTGTCTTTGATCCGTCTTGGCATCTCATCTTCTCCTTCATCTCGCTGTTCTCACGCCAACGTTTGATGGACTCTTCTCCACTCGGACTGCTCCGATCTCGGCCACTGTCTCGGCGAGCTCCGCTTGAGAAGCCCAGATCTTGACAAAATTATCTGCTATCTCCCGATTGATCAAGATATCTCCGAAACTTTGGAGTCGAGGGAGGATATCTCCTCGAAGAGGTTGATCTTCTCTTGACTTAGAAGTGTGGAGACTGGTCTCTGGCGCTTTGGAGGCTTGCTACTGCTTCCCTGCGCTGCTCGAGCTGTCAGTACTTGGCTTGCACCTCTGTTCTGTATTTGACTCTCGAGAGCTGGTTACTTCTTGAACTTCCATTCTCGTTTCTTCGACATGCTTAGAACCTCTGGCAGTTAGGGAATGCTTCCGCCACTTCAGGCCTTGATCGTGCTGAGAAGCTTGAGCGGAAGCATGCAAAAACACAGCTTCCTGCGAAGCAGATGCTCCTTCTTGTCGCATGTAGCGTCCATCTGATCCGTCAAACCTCTGGAGCGCGGCGCTCCATGTGCTCTCACATCGGTTCTCCTCGGCTTGTCTTCTTCATCCTTCAGAGCTCCTCGCCCAAAGCTTTGCTGTGCATCTGGCACGTCGCTCTCTCCTCCAGCGCCTCAAGTCCCGTGATCCTCTCCATCAGCTGCCAGTTACTTGCTTCTCCAGCCTCGCCTTTGCGCTTCCAAACTCCGCCATCACGTGCTCTCGCCGAGAGCTCCACCTCGTGCAGCGGATTCGACTCCGTCAGCCATTATCCCCTGGGGCTTCTCCTTCAAGAACTCCTGTCCGAACACTTCCCTCATTCCACCAGATGACAGAGAACGTCTAGCGTAGTCTGTCTTATAGTCTCCACAGCCATCCGAAACCCCAGTCACGAGCAGCTTCAGCTATATCGTCTTTTCGCCATCTTGCAGCCATCTGACACTGGTTTACGTCGTTCCTCGCTACTATCATGGACAGCCTTACCGCAGCAGGCGCTCCTGAATCATCTCCATCCACTGGAAAGCCGATAAGATAGATTCGTCCTTGCTCCAGACACTGTAGAGTGTAGCCCAACTTGATCCATTGATCCTCTCTTGACTTAGAAGAGTATGGAGGCGGTTTAGATGCGGAAGTTTGATGGACTCTGCTGCACTTCCAGCCGACTGCTCTGCCTGGAGCCTCGTCAACCACCACTTTCGACTCTCCATCTCGGCCACCATCTTCCGAAACTTTCAATTCCAGTCGTTGATCTTCCCTCGACTTAGAGTGTGGAGACTGGTCTTTAGCTCAGACTTGACGCTTTAGTGACCTGCTACTGTGGTGCTCGACTTGCTTGGATATTTGGCCACAGCTCCGAGTTTTCCCGCTCCAACTTTTGGATTTGATTTCCCTTGAAGCAATCTGACACTGAGTTCTTTGCTGATACTTTCATCCGAGCAGCTGTACGAGCATTCCTGGACAGCCCTGACCCGTTTTCAAAGTCTCCATCAACTAGAGAGCTCTACCAGATGACAGAGAACGTCGAGTGTAGTCTGTCTTATAGTCTCTGCAGCCCTCTCTGTGAATCCGAATACCCCCACCGTCACGAGCAGCTTCAGCTATATCATATTCTCGCTATCACCATCTCGTTGCAGTCGTTCCCTTGCTACTATTCCTTCAAGCTGTGAACATTATACCGCAGCAGTATCTCCTGTCTCATCTCCGTCGACTGGAAAGCTGATAAGATAGATCCCTCCTAGCTCCAGACACTGTAGAGTGTAGTCAAACTTGATCCATTGATCTTCTCTTGACTTAGAAGAGTGTGGAGGCTGGTCGCTGGCCTGTTTAGACGCCTGAAGTGTGATGGACTTCTCCGCCTGGAGCCCTGAGACACGGTTGTCACGCACTGCTTTCACGTCTTGGACAGTTGCAAATCTTTGGAGTCGAGTCCTCGAGAAGGTCGATCTTCTCTCGACTTAACTGGTCTATAGCTTTAGTGGCCTCCTCCTGTGCTGCTCAACTTGCTTGGAGATCCAACTTCTGGATTTGACTCTTGAGAGTTGGCTTCTCCGATGCTAGAGTCCGAGCACTGGCCTCCAGTTGACCAATCCTTGCAGCCAACTTCTCGAGCTCGGAGCCAACTTCATTTCTCGTTTCTTCGACGTGCTTAGAACAGTTTGCTCGTGTTCTCTTCTCAGGTAAACCCAGGGTCTGGTCGTCTTAGAGTTCGCTCCAGCCCGGCCGATCATCTTCTGGCCATCATGGTTCCGACAAAACAAACACTCATCGTTCACTTCAGCTCTCTACAACAAACACAGAAGTTATTAGCAAACGGCCATCTGGAATCTGGAAGGTATATCAAACTTACCTGTCTCCTCTTGAATTCGGCAACAAAATCTCTCCCCGCACGATCATATAGTTCTTTTGCCTCCTTCACGAAGACCACCTCGCCGGACTGAAGCTTCTTCCACGGTTTCCTCTCACTCGGGATCCTATCCAGCATTTTCTGGAGCCTCATCATCTTCCGCGCTCGCTTGATCCTCTCTCGGTCGCTGGATTTGCCGTTGAGCTCCTCGTAAAGCTGCTCGGTGAGTCTGATCAGAATCCGGAGCGCGCTAACACTCCAAGACTTTTCCTCGTGCTTCTCCTCTTCTGTTTCCTCGCGCTTTTCCTCTTCCAAGCTGCAGATCTTCTTCTCGGTTTTTCCCCTCTGGTTTAGCCACCGGTTTGCCTTGTGGAAAGCTTCGAGATACGCGAACTCAACATAGCCCCCTCGGCCATCGCTAAGATGGGTTTCACTCCGCCGTCGGGTGCTGTCGGGAAGAATGTCCTCCGCTGAGGAAGAGAAGCGAACCATCTTCGGCCTGGAACCTGCAAGTCCAGAAGGCCATCGTGAGTCACAGTAGAAGAAGAATGAGAGAAGCAAAAGGAACCATACCTGGACGACGACCCCCGGCTGGCAGTAGAATTGGCTTGGGTCGCTGCTCCTCCTGCTTGGGCTTGTCATTCTCCTGCTGCTTCATCTTCTCTTGATCGTCTTCCCGTTCCAGAGGCTGCTTGATCGGCTTGATCATCTGCTCCTCCTCTTGTTCCAGCTGCTGCTTGATCGGCTTGATCATCTGCTCCTCCTCTTGTTCCAGCTGCTGCTTCATCGGCTTCATCCGCTGCTCCTCCTCCTGTTCCTGCTCTTGCTTCATCGGCTTGATCGGCTTGATCGGCTGATTCGGCTGATTCTTCTCCTCTCGTTCCAGCTGCGGCTGCTCCTTGTGACCTTGCTCCTGTTTCACCTCGCGCCTGAGTTCCTTCGTCTCATGGGCTTCTTTCTCCTGCTCCTCCTCGCTCAGCTGCTCAGCTTTCTTCTCTTGCTCCTCCTCCTTCAGCTGCTTCTCGGCTTCCTTTTCCTCCTCTTCTTCCAGCTTCATCGGCTTCATCTGATCGGCTTCTTTCTCCTCCTCGTTCACCTGCTCGGCTTTCTTCTCTTCCTTCAGCTGCTCCGCTTTCTTCTCTTGATTCTCCTCTTCGTCCTCCTTCTCTTGTTCCGGCTTGATCGGCTTGATCGGCTCCTTGTGCCCTCGCTCCTGTCGTATCGCTTCTAAGACGATTTTCACCTCGTGCCTGAGTTCCTTCAACTTCAAGGCGGCGGCGTCCATGGCTTCTCCCGAGACGGCCTCACAGACACGATCTTGGACCTTCAGCTTCGAGGCCGCCGCGTCCATGGCTTCCGGGTGGACCTTGTTGTCGCCCTTGTGCGCCTTTTTTGGTCGAAAGAGAGACCACAAACCTGTGACGCATCCACTGCGCTCCTGCTCTGTTCGCGCCATAGCTTGCCCTTTGCAAAATGCCTTTAATGCCCTAACCCTTACTTAATGTATTTCACTTTAATGCGTTCGTTTACATTTCTCGGCAGTGACTTAGGCAGCGCCCTGGCTCTTGAAACTCAGGCACGCTGGAACCAGCTCACAGGCTGCATCCCAGAAGATGTTTACACATTCCCATCTCTCAATATCTAGACTTGAGTCTGGAACAAGTCCCTGGAGCTGGTTTCTAATGCTTCCAGCTTGAGAGTGCTCATCAAACCAGCTACTGGATACCATCTGACCTCAGTAAACTTTCCAGAAGAAAACAAAGAAACGAGATGGTAGCTATAGTAAGTACAGTCTTTATGTGCTTTCTTTGTTGGTGAATGTTAAGATGCTTACCCTAGATGTGCCATTCTTAACATGCAAACTTCCTGACATGACAAAACTTCAAGAACATTGAATTCACAAGGTAAGTGCTCTCTATCATTCTCCTTAAAGCTTATGCTTTACATCATGCAGGAAAATGCAAGTAAATTTTGGTCATGTTTGCTGTTGAGCTGCATCTTGTTACCAAGCACACATACTTCTGCCACCAATTTGCTTTTTGAAACTGTTGTATGACATTGAATTTAGCAAACACAAAACTTTTTATTTGTTCTTTTTTAGATACAACATCTTATGAGTCCATTCTGAGTTCATCGTCAAGCTCAGGTGGTTCAGAGGAAGGAGGAGAAGCTGTTTTTAGTGATGGAGAGCATGTGGAGTTCAAGGACAATATTAGGGATGATGCTATTGCTTATATGGTGGAAGAATCGTCATCAGATGGAGATCAAGATGCAGAGAAACTTATTTTCGGTCTCAAGGAGATATTTGATTTCAGCCATATCCCACTAAAGGAGCAATCTTGAATTCTGAATAAAGAAGAACAGTATTTTTATGTATTACAAACAATGCTTTATGAGGGATGCAAGTTGTCTAGCTTCCCAACTTCAACAACTTTAAATAATACACTGTTATGACCCAGCACTAAATAACAAAGACAAAGATGTTTAACCTTGCA